ATATATATATATATGGGAAAAAAGAGATAACAACTGAATGGGATTGCTATAATTGAAATAAATGAATGGGAGCCAAGTGAAAGCTGTGATATATGCTGCATTCAAAGTTTTCCATTTGGTTCTTTCCTCTCTTAACCATTTACTACGATGACGTTATCTCTCTGGAAAGCAAGTTCATTGTGTGAAACGCACAAACAGAGATAACACACGCGGTATGACCGTGTAACTCCCACAGTCAGTCAGGAACAAAAATAACTACCTCACCGGTGGGGTGAGGAGTTTCCAATCGACGGCTCAGATTGGACCACAATTACAGATCGCTAATGAGCTCCAAGTTCTTCTATCTGACGCATACCGTGCTGGCAAATGTTTAATAAGATGCCAGCCATGCGTAACGATGAGTCAATGTTGAAATAGGCTTGGAGTGGTTTTGTGCATTAGTGTTGGCATTTGAGATGTGTAGAACGTTAACGGTTAAATGAGGCAGGAACATGCTCGTGCCCTGCACTTGTCCCAACACACAAAAAAACATGCACACAGGGGCCCGGCTCTCTGACTCAACACTGGGAGTAATCCAAACACAAAGAGACAAACTCATCCAAAAAGTGAAAAAACACAAGTGCCCAAAGAGTGGAGTTTCACCCAAACAGGTTTGGGTCGTTTTTGTTTTTTTCTTCATAGAGGAATACTTGGGTGGTGGGTCTGGTGTCAACAGGTAGGCTGGTACACACAGGTACACACACACACACACAAGCTCTCTTAACACGCATGCTGGAACACACAGCGAAGCCAAAGACAGATGGGCCGACTTCAGAGAAACTTCCGAGGCTGACATTCAAACAGGCAAGGACACATTCAAACAACCTCCCGAAGAAAAGCTCTTACACTCACCGAGTGACGGGATTGTCTCCTTCTCTTCTGTGTCTTTAATTCCTCCGTCTGTATTTTATTCTCTCCGTCGCTTTTTCCTCACTCGGGGGGGGTAAATCCTTTACTTCTGACAAGAGCAGCAGAGCCGGTTGTGCGGCTGGTGTGCGAGGCAGCAGCGAGTGAATGAGGGTGTGTGTGTGTGTGTGTGTGTGTGTGTGTGTGTGTGAGAGAGAGGAGTGTGCGAGTCCAGAGTCCTGAGGTCAGAGGCAGTCCGACGTGGTCACACAGAGATATAAAGGATGTCGCGACTTCTCCGCCTTCTCCTCGCTGGCTGCCTCAGGAATGCACTTCTCCTGGGTGTCCTCACCACAGCCCAGATCTGAGAGACTGGGATCTCTCTCTCTCTCTGTGTCTCTCTCTCTCTCTCTCTGTCTACACCACCTCCTCCTCCTCCTCCTCCTCCTCTCTGTCTCTCACCCACACAGAAACACCAGTCACTCCTCTCTCACTCTTGTTCTCCCCACCCTTTCTGGCCGCGCTGACGGATCAGGTACCTCCCCTTTTTTCAGGTAGTTGAAAGCTCGTTTTCGACTTTGTCGTCCTCACTCTGTATCAATTCATTCCCTTTGCATTCTCCATTCTCCAACGAAACACAGGGGCTGCTTGTGAGACTGCGATAAGAGCGGAATAAACTTGAACTCTTTGCATGCGTGTGCATTTACATACGAGTCTACCGTTTGTACGATCTACAGCCTGAGGCATTAGACATCCGCCCTCCAGTCACATGAACAGCTGATTACACAAATAAGTCTGTCAGGTGATTTGCTTCCTTTTCCTGGAATGAGGTCATAGTCCGGCAGACCAGGTGCAATTGGGGAGTCTGTGTTTGAGTTGGACAATGCCCTGTGGGCAAATCAGAGAATGAAGCAACCTAAATCTGACAAGCCCGGTCCAGAGAGCGACACATGTACAAAACAAAAGCTTAGTCAATTATCAGTACTCAACATTCGATCATAAACCAATGCCACCATCCTGAACCTTGTATCTCCACAGCTCCCACACACACAAACACAGAGCTAAGACATGCGTGACCAATGGATGAGGCAGAATGTGTAGAAGCCTCTCAGCATGAGCCGACTGCTCTTTTTCTATTGACCCCCCTCCCTCTCTCTATCATCCCTAAATCTTACATTTGAACCATTATCAGCCTCTTCTCCCTTTCTCCCTTACCCTCCCCCCCCAAACCTGAAACTAAAGACTGGCCAGTGAAAATGAACCCGATACCAAGCAGATCTCCTAAGCGTATTTTGACCTTGATAGAGTAAATCGCTACATATTAAAGCCTATTAGCCAGCAGAATATATGATAAAGCGAAGTAAAACCATAAATAAGCAAACAGCAAAGTAAACGCCTGCTGTTATCAGCTGTTACTGGAAGATTGCTCAATGACAACTATGAAAAAGTCTTTAGAAAGTACAGGGATGGTCAATTAAGATATATAAGCACCTTTTGAAGACGATATCAATATATGAGAAAAATATGAATGCGTTTTTAAACACAGGACAATTTACAGCTAAGAAATGTTCTTGTCGCTAGTTTCTGGTGGATAAACTATGATGTCACGGTTTCTAAACCAACTCAAACACATCTTTGGCACTCCATCTGTGATAAGACAACATCGGCAGATTTATCATTTGTCAATTTAACCCAAAATTCACACATCTTTCTGGTCAAATTGTTATTTGTTATGCATCCATGGCTACTTATGTCGGAGCATTTTTGACCATCTAACTGGTACTTTAATTTGTTTGCTTATTTTCCTTGAGTGAGCTGAGGACATTGGATAATAAATACTAAAACAAATGCATGTGTTAGAATTCAGTGGCAGTTCAAAAGACAGTCACACAAAGTCAACAGAAATCCTGATTCCAGTTTCAAAAGAACATTCTACTTCCTACTGAGCAGCAGCAGGCCATCGACAATCACAACATCTACTTCATCCTCGTGTTTACTTTTCCTTCATCTGACGTCAGATTGTATTCTGATCAGACTAATGAGGACACGCAGTCACCACGCCTAATAACCATGTGAGCACATCATATAAAGCAGATGCTCCAAAAATAGACATCTTGGATTAATTGCATTAATTTGATGAATTAAATCATGCAAACAAAAGACCACTGTGTAGAATGCTGTAGCTTTTAGCCAGCATGAGTCACAGAGGCCCGCTAGGAGTCCGTTCGCATCCATGAGAGCCGTTTCACTGTTCTGCCTATAAAGCAAAAGCTTTTGGCACATCTAAGCTGTGTTGTTTGATAAATCCCTTGAACCACACTGGTGGGGGGGAAGCCTCCTGAGGCCTTGCTTAGGTACGCGAGAGTGAGAAAAGGCTCTGGAGGTGCCAAGGAGGAGTGACATTTTAAAAGCAGCAGAGAAGTAAGTACACTTTATGGATCCTGACTGACCGTTACCTATCACCACCAGGCCCTCATCAGGTTCTGATTCTCACAAGTCCTCCTCATCCGTTTGAGAGTGTGAAGATGGAGAGACAACAGGGCTGAAATCAGAGTGGTAGGGTGAGGGTATTGTAATGTGATGTGGAGGATTATCGGTCCAAAAGCACTTGTAGACTTCTCCCGACACCTTCCAGGCATTCCTCAGGGCCCCTCCCACCGCTGTGCCTCCCTCGTCCCACCCTCCCCTGTCAAGCCCCACATATCATCCCTCTTTTTCTGTGACTCAAACATTCTTGCAACCCCCCTTTCCTCCTCCTCCAACCCCTCCCTCTGCATTCAGCAAAGAAAGCTAAAGAAAACAAAGACAGGGTCTAAAAAGCGTTTAAAACCAGGAGCTTTAAGAAGAAATCCTCCCCAATTTTGTACTTGTTTACCATTTTGTCTCTGTTGCGTAAAAACGCTGAAAACGCACCCGACTCCAAACTCCGACTAGCTATTCGACTGCTTTCAATCTCCACCTGATGTGTTAATACCTCGACAAGTGATGGTAGGTATAAATTTGTCCAACGAGTGGGGAGCCCGCCGTAACTCAACTCAGACGAGACAGGAAGATGGCTCTCGGGCTGAGAAACAGACTGGTTGGGTCTGGCAGCAGTTCAATAGGTTCTGTGGAGGGGAGCAGGGTGAGGGGAATACATGCTGATAGTGTCTTTGTTGGCCATTATTCACCAAGAATGAATAGCATTAAGTTGCTGCCACCGCTCAACCCCTTCCCGTTCTGCCTGTTGAAACCCCCACCCCTTCTTCTTCTCCCTCTATTTATTCAGCCTTTCCCTAAAAACAGCCTTCAACAGGTGGACCACAGGTCGGTCAAGACTAAAGCCTGGACCGCGAGTGTGGAATGAGAGCAGACAACGCTAGCTCTATTTTCAGAAAGCCCAAACAAGTTGCAAGAAATCCTGAACTTTTGTTGACATCGTTTTTCATACTGATGGTGAGCAACGCGAGCTAGTAAAGCTCTGTTTTGAACAAACATGCCTAAGTATAGCATTGCCGTCTCATTATGGTCAGGACAGCGCTGTTGGGCCCAGTACTGAAGCTATAGTCTTGTGTATTATTATGACAAGCGGGACGGCTTTCACCAGCGAAGGTAATTGCACTGTTGAGACGTAAATATAGCACAACTCACGCCAAGAACAGACAAAGACTTGTTTTCATCCCAGAAAACCTGGCTCAGAAGATGATTCATGTTTTGGAAGCAAATGCATGTCACTATATCATCTTACAAACAACAACAGCTGTATTGAAAATACAGCTGTCACGGTGAACCTGAGGACAAAGAGAAGACAGGGGAGTACAAAGCGAAAAAGACAGCCGGAGAGGGTCACTTGGATCAACATATGTACTGCAGGTAAACAAACTTTGCATTCCTCCAAACACAGGATAAAAAAAAAATAAATAAAGAAAATACCTTTTAACACTCTTCAGATCGCACTCACAAAGTACGCTCTATTGGCTTTTAGCAGCTTCCAAGTTGTTAGGACTTTGGCCACACCTCTTTTTATTCTGAACCGGTCCAGGCTGGCTCCGGGCTAAGTTACCACCATTCAAAAAACATGTCTACCTCTGACATGAATCTTTTGAGGGGCTATATGTAAAGGGAGGAATTAAATTTGGACCTAAATAAAAAGCTGCAACATTGTCCTTCAATGCTTTCAAATGGGCCTGTTGGGAGTAGTGTCTCATCTCCTTCCTTAATTCCCTCTGAACCCGTTTGTCTTCATCCTATTTCAGTAGATGTACCGTCAATCTATGTCTTTTGAGATAAAACTGTACCATTAGTGTCACACTGCGCAGCTCTGTGCTGTTCCTATCAATAAATGGAGATTGGTTACAGCCTGATGGTACTCGGAGAAAGCTGTGACCATCGCATGGCCTTCGACTTTTCACTCGTGCGCAAAGTCGGACGGGATATCGACGATCAGCCTTTTCGTTCGTCTCTGTGTCTTTAAGAAATGCAAGAAATACACGCGAGCCGGGGAACAAAAGAGGAGTCAAAGTCAACAAGACGTTACTGCCGGTGGCCTCCGTACACGCATCGGGTCCTGGGCTAAGCTGAGGATTTCTCAGGACACAAGGGGAACCCAACCCACAGGCCGCAGCTCTGGTCAAAGAACGCCATGTGCACTGAGAGAGAGAGCAAGAAAACAAAGAGCAGGCAAGAGGAGATATTGGCCTGCGTGGGGGTTGGAGCTGAAGATTTAATGATGATCTTGGTGAAAAAACAAAAGCCAGTGGAGAGGGGATGCACAGGAAATGCTAAGTTGGTGACAGGGGAGCTATCAGGTCGAGGCAGGTCAGGGGTCGGAGGTGAACAAAAGCTTTGGTAAGCCCCACACAGAGCGAGGTAGAGGCCCCTGGACGCACTACTGACGCCCAGTCTGCCCGTCTACATGCCTGCGCCTGGAGTTTGTTTGTCGGACAACGTTTTTCTTACATCAGTCTGTCGAGTCTGAATGCTTTTCCATTTGTCCTCCACATAGACCAAGATGTCACCCTCGCTTTTCTGTCCACCATTGTTTACGATACTGCTCTCTTCCACTCTCGGTGTCTGGGGGAAAGGGCTATCCAAACACCTGCAGGAAAAACAGCATTTAAAAGCTTTCACTGCACTGAGGCTGTCATCTCTTTCCTTCAGTGGCTTTACTGGATCAAAGGAAAGCTGTAGCTGTGTATAGCAGGAAAGTCTTTTGAAGCTATAATAATGACCTATAAGTGCGCACACACACACGCACACACACACAGAGAAATGTGAGCATGCATGCGCGCAAATAAAGACATGATGACACCAGTGCATAATAAAGTTCTCTAATCGCACCATTTTAACAACAGACATTTTAGTTGGAAGCAGAGGATATATGCAAAAAGGATTCACCAGGACTTCAAGTACCAGACACTTGAAGACCTGTTGAATTTTAACGAGGCCGGTGAGACTGCCATCGCCATCTTTATCAGGATGGTCGAGGGTCTGAGTGAGTGCATGTGCATGAGACTGAATTAATTACGTGTGTGCGCGTGTGTGTCGGTGGACATGCCAGATTACTAATCAGCGCTTAGACAAAGGCCATATGTGTGCAAGTCTGTGCATCTCGCCCACATACATCTCCCACATACTCCCCTGCACGTCTGCGTAAAACCCTATAAGCAGGAATGCTAGGACTGTCGGGTCAGCAGTGGTGACATCATGGCAGCCTGTCAGAGACAACAACAAGGCCTCAGCGCCAGTTTCCTCCCGGTTGCATCAGCTGCGCGATACCAGGCTGCGGATCAATGACACACGCTCCAGCTCTGCTTCCCGCTCGCTCCACGAGTCTTGGAACATTCATTACAGACGAGCAACTGGTGCGTCTCGATTAACATACGTTAATAAGCCATTTTAACGGCCCCTGATGCACGACTTTACACAAAACAAGGGCTTGGATGAGGCTCCAGACTTTTTACCTGCATGGGGTGGTCTAAGGTCAACAGCCAGACTTCATTGTTTACAAAGAGACAAGAGTATAGCCTGAGGGGAGGCTGACTAGGGGAAGGAAAGTATGCAGAGGAGGGGACCGCTTAAGCAGCGTTTTACATTCAGTAGTTAGAAAAGCAGCAAAAATCAGTGAACCTAACCTACATGTATGATTACATTAATCCTCCTAAAATCCTCCGTTCATGTGTCCCTTGCCTGTGTGAGGGGTCAAGTGTCAGCTATAACAGATGCTACTGTGTGTGTGTGTGTGTGGGAGTGCGAGTGTGTATGTGCAAAGGATCCTTCAGGTCATCAGATAAAGTGCACCTGAGGGAGGGGCAGGGGAGCCCGCTTTCGGTGTTGCCACGGTAACCCAACACAGCCGCGACCACCTGGTTGGTGGAGCCCGACAAAGGGGTGCAGAGAGGGCACCGCCACTTCAGGACGGCAGCCGTGCCGAGAAAATCCTCACAAAGTGGCCCCGATTCCCGGACACGACCCACGCCGAGAGCGCAACACAGCTGTTGAATCTTTCATGGGACATAAAACAGGAAGCAGGCCTACTGCGCAGCTCTCGCTACAGAGGAGGAAAAACTTTGGCCCGTCTTGCGACCAAGTTATCTACACAAGGTTTTAGTCACGCTCTCTCCTGTTGGACACTTAAAGAGCCGTGCCAAGCCAACTGGGGTGCCACGCCATAACAAATGTATAGCATCTGCACACACGGTTCTTAGGTATCACAGTACACGATCATACAGGTGCCGAAAAATTATTCTGAGAGATTCATCATCGCTTAGCATGCATTTCAGCATGCATTTTATACAACTGATAAGACCGACTTATATCTAACTTTAAATCAATAAGTCATCGTTTAATCAATGACTCGTATGTCCTTTACTTTGTGTGACTTTGGCAGTATTGAAAACGAGTCCAGCCACAACTAGAAAGGAAACACAAAAAGTGTAAACTCAGTGGGAAAAAAACCCTCTTAACTCAGAATAAACAAGGCCATTTGTTTCACTCACCTCCTGCAGATTAATGGCCTGTGTGACCGCCCGGCCGATGAGAAAGAAGAAGAAGAGGGGGAAGAGCTACACAACCCAGTCACTGTCTGTGTGCGTCGTGGTCACGGGCTACCTGATCCACCACAGCCTGTGAGAGAGAGAGAGAGAGACCGGCTCAGAGCAATGCAGAAGGGGGGGGGGCAGCTGCAGAGAAAAGTGAAGTGGTGCCGCCATTCCCCGTCACCCGGGAAACCAACGCTCTTTCAAAGAAAATCGACCAATGGCGAACACCGGCAATTGTGTTCAGACAAAAAGTCACATGACTGCCAAAAACACCACTCCCTGTACACGGAGTGAGAAGGGAAGGAAATAAAAGAAGTATGGTGTTGGGAGGTGGTGGGTTAAGAGGGGAGGACAGAAAGAACATTTTAAAAATTGAGGAAAAAGAGGTAAAAGTGGTATCAGTAAAACACAACGGGTCACCAGGTCGGATTCAATCCCAAACGTCTGCAAGAAAGAAGAACCCACCTCGTCCTCCTCACAGTCCCATCTGCACAGCAGCTTTCTGCAACAGGTTGGCTTTCGCCTGTTTCAGTTCGCTAAGAGGAACAATGCTGAGCCGCACGGTTTGACACTAATGGTCCAGCTCTATCTCCAGCTGGCACACTCAGACATTACCCATCTACCTCCATATTAGGCTATTTATATAGAGAGCGTAGAAAACGTTCAAATATCCGTCCTGCACTCTCTTCAACCCGTAAAGCATTTTGTCACGATTTCTTTTCATCACTGAAGTGAATGTATTATGTGAAATCAATAAGGAATCACAAGTTCACGCTTACATTTTGTTAGTTTGTGCCTACTTGTTAATTGCTAGAATGTGTTCGTATTATAACAAACCGATGAACTGTGATCATTTGTTTCTATTGAGGTTGTTGTTTCAGAAGCGGTTGGAATTATTTCTTTAGTGTATGTTTTATTGATTGTGGGGACAATTTTTGAAAGATAGGCCGACAACAGAAATACAGTAAAGATGATATAATTAATTTAATCGAATATAACTATTCCAAAAATATTTTTCAACAGATCTTTAAAAATCATATTGACACATTCCCAATACACTGGGAAACAGCTGGATTTGGGAACCATTTGGTTTTAAAGCTGCACAGATGACGTGCACTAAAAAGGTAATACAACAGAAATCTGATCAATAACAAACCATTGCATTTATATCCATGTATTTAATTATTATATTATTTAAATCAAGCCTAATGTTACCTTGCACATATAAAGTGCCTTCAAACAAGCCCTTTGCACAGCAGAGGTCAGGGCCCAAAGAAGCCAGCAGCGATGCAGAAATCCCTTTTCCAGTCGACTGACTTGATTCAATATTAGCAGACGGGTGAAGAGAGACCTGAAGAACGCGCATGCACAGTGAAAGTTGTTTTCTCATCCTATAGAGTGCTGGAGGAATTTAATCCTAAAACCCAAAAATGAGTTAGCATTTTTGCACTTCCGGGTTCCCTCATCTCGAAGTTCAGACGAAGGGAACCAGTGTGACACTAACTTGCGGGTTGGACTACAAAAATACACCATCCCTGCAGCACTCTGTGAACCTTCGCACCCCTAAAATCATCCTACGACCCTCGCGCTCAGAGCCAAGTTAGTGTCGTCTCTTGGCATCCTGAACAAGAGACTGAAACATTTTATTTTAGCTGTTTGTATAAGCAAACGACTTCACTTATTTTCTCCCAAAATCCCTTTGAAAGTGCAGTGTATCATGTTATTACTATTCACACTGGCACCTGTCCAGGGTCGTAAACGAAATTACAGTGAGGCTCTCCAGCGTACATTCCCAACAGACAATACAGTCTACCGATGTTAGGCAGCGGGTTCATTACTCAGACTGTAATCACACATCTATCACTTTCCCAGCAATGTGCTGTACACTTGAACACAATCATCTGCCTTGTAATACATCGCCTCAGCGCCAGTAAATTGCCCTACTTCGGCTGTGGCAGGCAGAAATGCATTTACCAAGTGACAGGAGGCCCAATCGCCTCTCCACGGTGGGAATGTGACAGGATAGCTGATGAGCTGGGGGGGCGAGAGAGAAGGTGACAAACCCGACAGCATCCAACGCATTGACAGCGATGGCACGTCTAAGGATTCCACTATCGATTTTTTTTTTTTTTTAAAAGGTAATTGAGAGGACTACCTGAGGATTAACAATCATGCATCAGCTTATCAATAGACAATAGGCACATTCCGGCTCCGGGCTTACTGCGGATCCTTGGGGATATTCTTGCAGATGGAACATGCAACCCGGAGATTAGACGCAATCATGAAATGACACTGAAAGCAGTCAGCCTCACCGGCTCGGGGAACAATAACTTACAGTCTGCAAAGCGGGCAGCTGCACTCGGCTATCCGTTCTGCATCTAGGCCTGGTACTAAACTGAAGAGGAAAAAAAACAACACACAGGCTGTGGGGCCATATTTATATATTTATGAGACGTTAAGTTAAATATATGCGATTCAATACTTGACGTTACAAGACAGCTGGTAGTCCAGATATAGTTTGCCCTTACCACTGTTCACACCAGATGACGGTGAATAAACTGTGAGATGTGACGACCATGAATTCAGAGGGCAGATCAGGCGGCTTTATCAAAGGCACAATCTAAGTATCCTGCTCATGCCAGTTTGATCTATGGTGGATCTAAACTATTCATACCTTCTTAAAAGTCAATACATTAGCATAGACGGGGCGAGTAGAGGGTGCTGCTGCGATGATTTAGTGTCTGTGAGATGAAGATTGTGTGTGTGTGTGTGTGTGTGTGTGTGTGTGTGTGTGTGTGTGTGTTTCTCCGCTGGTAGACAATCCTGTATGTTCTCTAGTGCTGAGCGGCTGGACAGATGAGTCAAGAGGGATTTCATAGTGTGGCAACTGAACACTTTACGGTGAACTTTTTGTCAAACTTTTCATTGTATTCCAGTATTATGACCAGAGTGAGCTGCAAATTCATTAAACACTAGAGGAAAAAAATACTAAATACACACCGACTACAGCACTAAGCCTGAATCCACTCCCATAATCAGACATGCTCTTTAAATGTAATGGCTCAATCCCACTACGAGTGTTTAGATGACGATCATGAATCAAATAGAATTGACATCAGGATATGTTGCTGAATATGGCAAAGAAAAGAAAAAAAAAAAGCGCACAACAGCATCATCTTCTCAAAGATGTACTCTCGCAAACATTAACACCCCACATACTAATGGTAAAGCATTACAAAGACATAAGTAAATGTATGAAATGCTTACAGCCAAGACATAAAGAGGTCCCAATGAGCATTTACATAGTCGAGTTATTCACTTGTGGTCAATCGGTGATGTGGGGAAAATTTTTAAAAAAAAGGGAAGAAAACATGACGCAAAAAAAAAAAAACAAGGAAGTAAAAGTGAAAAGGTACAAACAACAGAGGAGAAGTGGGGGAAGTACAAACAAGAGACAGACAATAGATCCACTGGGACAATGAAAGCGAAGAGCCAAATACATATATGTGTTGTCAGACCAAAAAGTGAACAGAGCCGCTCGACAGAACAACGAGGATGAATGGTGAACAAATTGATAAATGTTGAAATGATAATGGTCTGAATGCAAAAAAGTCGTATTTTGCATGTATGCATTCAGGACATGTGTGGTAAATAAATACTAGGCATATATACTATATACTCATATATATATATACTTCAAATATATACGAGTAAAGCTTAAACAATAACTCAATATGTCGATCAACAGAAAAATGTATGTCCGATTATCAATTAAACATTTCGATTATTTGTCAAGTAAAAATGCCCAACTCTCTTTGATTTAAGCTTCTGATTTGTGAGGATCAATTTATCGGTTTGTGTAAAAAGTGATTTACCAATTATGAAAATACCTGCTGGTTGCAGCCCTACTGTGAATGTGAGAATGACATTAAGAACAGGAGATATGGTAAGAGATGAAAATGAATGGTACTGCGACAATATCATAAGTCAGTGAAATGTTCCTCAATATATAAACCAATGTGCTCATCTAGCACAATGTGGGTTTTCTCAAAAACTAATTAACAATGGTTGGGCCGCTAATATGCACTAATACTCTTGAAATAATGGCAACAATTTGAATGTGTTGTAAACAAATACAAGACACTTTGCTACCTGCATGCAAAATCCTTACAATTTGACAAGCAGATGATGATGATGATTAGAAGCCTATTTTGGTTGTTGTTGTTGTTGTTGACATATTGCTGTGATTATGTATTATTGCAATTTTCATTTAACTAAACTTTTACGTGATATTGGTGATTTAAAAAAAAAAATAATAAAAAAAAAAAGAAGTTATTTGTTGACAACCGAGAAAAATGTTACGTCACCACAACGTGAATTTTGAACTTATTTTGGTGTTGAAGTTGACCACGTTTTGTCAATAATAGCATTCACATACACAGCAACGAGGCCAATTAACGTAAAAACAGCAAGTGCGTCGACTATACTCGAGCGTAACGTGTCCAAGTGGCCCAACAGAGTCAGTGAGGAAAGTTTAGTAACGTGACTCCGGGCTATTGTTAGCCTGTCATCAAACCTGCAGGTGCAGCGCTGCGAGCACACTTGTTGCGTCCTTTACCAAAAACATTTCAATGTCACTTCAGTCTGGCAGAAAATTAAAGACAATGTGAAAACAACTTACGAGCAATTTAGTAGTCAACGTTGACACGACGGACAAGCGAGTGCTTCATCCTCTTGTCCCCTTCAGCAAAAGGCTGCGGGTGTCAAGCCATCCAGGAAACAGATGTGAAACAGTTTCCGGTCAACAGTTTCAAACTAAGGGCATTGAACCGGAATATTATAAAGTGAAAATAAACTATACATCTATATGGAGACATTTTCATTACTTTTTTATTCATGGAATCTCTGTGAGCTTATGCCAAATGCCATATAATATAATAAACATGATTGTAACCACTATCATGGTTACTGTCGGTTTCTGAGCGACAGCATAATATTTCAACAGGGAACTGTCAGTGACTTGGGAACTAGGTCCTTACCCATCATGATTAAACAAAATAGAAAAAAAGCCATGTTTGAAAAAAAGCTGCAAAAGTGCCCTTTTAGATAAAACATGAGGCAGTGCCCTCTAGGGTGCGCTCCCACTGGATACATTGTGATAAAGCGCCCTTTGGGGTGCCCTTCCAGTGAAGAAAAAGTGATGAAATACCCTCTAGGGCAGGGGTGGGCAATTATTTTTCCCAAAGGGGGGCCACATGAGAAACAGGGACTGTTGAACTCAATCCTGCTCAATACTATTCCACCTCTTTATAAAAAGCAGTAAATTGTATGGTTTTGATGAGCTGCGAGTGGTAAGAGTAAATGTTTTGATCAGTGGTGGAATGTAACTAAGTATATTTGCTTAAGTACTACACATTCATGGTACTTTACCTAAGTATTTCCATTTTATTCAACTGTGTACTTTCACTCCACTACATCTCAGAGGGAAATACTTTTTACTCCACTACATTTGTCTGGCAGCTTTAGTTACTAGTTACTTTGCACATTATCATTTTTCAAACCCCTCCTAACTACCCAAACTGAACAACAGTGAATAAAGGAGTTAAAACATTTGCAGCGGGAATATTGATCCAAACACATATACATACATATGTAATATCCATATATAATACAAAATACTGATAGGGATCATGTTTTTGCAAACTTTGTACTTTTATTACTAATATTTGTCGTCCAATTACCTCAGTTTCTGTTTTTCCGTTCAGTATAGAAATGTAGTCTGTGTTGGGCTTGAAGGTGTGATCTGAAGTCAGGTTGAATGTCTGAGGTGAGATGTGAAGGACAGCTGACAGGTGATCGTCAGTGAGAGAGCATCTGGATTTGTTCAACTTTATCACAGAGAATGTTTGTTCACATACGTAGGTTGATCCAAAGAGAAACAACATCTCCTGAGCATGTTGCTTTTGCAGCTGAGCTAGCAACGCCTCAGATGTCCGTGTGCACTCTGCGTCACCAACACATCCCAGTAAGCCGTGTGTGTGTGAAGTAGATCGGGTGAACAGTTCCTTGCTTTATAGTGAGATGACGCTTCTGCTGCCATTCTTCGGCCTAACGGCATCAAATTTGTCATCACGTTTGACAAAGAACTCGATGGGGTCCTAATCAATACACATGGCAATTGTGAAGTAGATCAGACGGGCTGCTCTCAAGATATGTGAAGAACACATTTACATGCAGGCAGAAATTCCTTGCTTTATAGTGACCTTTATATGGTTTATATGGTCTCATACAAAACAAGTTTCAGCATCTACTTGTTCTTTAAAGCTTGTTTCTCGTTTCATTTTATCAGCTGAAGATACACACACACACACACTTCCATCTATTCACTTCTGTAACAGGTTTTAATCGTAACCAAAGGTCAGAGGTCACCTGTCAAATTTGAAGGCGTAGCTATCGGTGCTATGAATTGTGGGTGCTTGTGTGTGAGTGGAGGTGTGATTAGGGGGAAGTTGGAAAATATGGAAACAATATAAAAGAGGTAGGATTTGAGGTGCGTAGTGGGTTTTCTTTATTTTAAGCTGTGGTTGAAAAAGCTTATTTTGCATTTTTTCCAAACCAAGCTTGGACACAATCACAGTCACACACACAGAAGCAGTTAACACAAGGGCACTTCCAGTTTTTTATTAGTGCAGAATGACAAAATGTGATGTAATATTGTGGAATCGGTGCATAGTAACCAGACATGTACAGCTAGCAACATGCATCACTGTTAATTGTGAGTATGTTGCATTCAATCCGTTTCTCATCTGCTGTGTGTTGTCTTCCCATAACCAAGTGAGTTTAGAATTTACAGAGTGATGCATTGATGGCACAGGCGCTTGTTTCGTATTGTGTGAGAATAATTCAACATCAGTTTGGTCTGCATGCGTGATGTTTATGCCAGCAACACTTCAGAAGTTTGTGGTTTGAATGTCTCCAAAGGGTGTCCTTAAATAAAGAAAGCATGATCAAGTGTACTCAGTGCCATGGAGGCTACTTTTCACACAATGGGCTACATTGTTGGGTTATGTATTGGATATGTAACCAGACTAAATCTGATGTTATCTGAGATTGGGGCTGTTGACATCATTCATAGATGCCATGAGAAGATAGAGTCTGAGGAATCTGGTGTAGAGAGCGTTCCATTTACAATATACAACGGGTCACCGTATGTGTTTCAGCTATGATGAGGAGGAAGTGTTGTAAGCAGAAGGTTGTAATTTCTGTAATAATCTTTTCATCACATAACACTGTTATTAATAAAGCCTATGTTGTTTCATAAACAAAAGAAAGAGGAACCATCCCCGTGTTAACCATTACTGAACTCAACAAGTTGACCTATAGGGCTTCCTTAGATTTGTACTGAAATGCTTCAATTTACCTTTGTTCTGTAAATGAATCAAACATGTGTTGGCCCAAACATGTCTATAATATAGTGCTGAAAGGCTAAATGGTTCACAAAATGATCCCTCGCATTAAAAGTTGAAATCACATATCCCTCTATGCAGAGTGCTGCCTCAAATGTTTCACTTGTATCTTTCCAAACATTCCTTAAACCACCTGATCATGTTGATTAAAAAGAAGCCAGATGTCACATCATGAAAGTAAAACTAAAATAAATGCTGTAGTCATCCCACAAATTCTAATCACTGCTCTGCAACAAGACTTTGTGAGGTGAAAACAACAACAACAGCTGTTCGCGGCTTCGTTGTGCTGGAAGAAATCATTAAACACATTATTAAGCTCTGGTCTGTTTTCTTTAAATAACTCCAAGGTACTGTAATATAAACTTGATGTGATGCAATGTTATTAGATCAGAAGACAGGTTTCTCTCCTAGTCCCACAGCATTTCTTCTCTTCCTCTTAAACAACAGGTAATCCCCCAGTGCCTCTTGTTGTTCATAGTAACTGAACACAACCATTTAATGCGCTATCAATACAATGCAAAGGCAATCTTCCTGCATGCGTTAAATGTATTGTCTCAGCATACAGTTTCACCACCTGCTTTGTCACAAAGATTAGATTCAGTTCAGAAGGCAGTAAATATGAAGCAGTACTTATCATTAACTTTATGCCTTTTGTATACCGTTATAGACCGCTCGTCTGCATATGGTTGTAAAGGTGTCAACATAAAATGAGTTATGGAGCATAATTATCTTGCATTAAATGGAATGTTCCTTCCGGCGTTATGCGGTTATCTCGTATGTACTGTACAAACAGATTCTCCTGGCCTGTCTCAACGCATACTGTATGGTATTTCCAGTTTCAGCGCTTGCTCGGGAAAAGTGACAAGTCTCAAGTCAAAACATGAAGGAAGCTTCCTACGATAATAATGTCAAACAAGCGTTCCATTTCAGTCACAAAGTTATGTTGGTGTGTGTGTTTTTCACAATGTGTTTCCCTGTAATTTATTCACACCCGTCTTGTTAGCTGCAGTTATGACACAAAGAAACAGCAGTATTGCTGCATAGACTCATCATATGAACCTCTGAAGTCTCTGCTGGCTTTGAGAATCTTTTGGGGAATGCAACTACAACCTACTTGACATGATCACAAAATGAAATGAATCATATCAAAGACATCTGGTATTTGTTTTGATGGTATTCATAGGATGTGTTGACAGTTTTCTCCACTTCAATCTGACGGAAAAATGTGTAGTTTGTTTACCGTATTTGCGAAAGAGAGGGACTTAATAACAATATCCTCCAGTCCGATGTCACATCATCGGGTAATAACTGGGGAGATCAGCTCCAGTCCCAACCAGCTGTGAGAATGATCCCTTTCAGAGAAATTACAAGACTATTCAGAAAGTAGGTGGACACTATCCCACCATAAAAGGCCTCTCCTTTCATTCCACTCTCCTCCATCTGTCCTGAGACATAATAGCACCAGTGAGATGAGAGTGGCTGACAACACCAGAGAGCGAGGGGGCCGAGTAATGCCACAAATGAAGCAGCCCTGTCGGAGGATTATTGAAGATGGTACAGCAACGTGATGGAAAGAACATAAGAAATGTGCTAACATGTTACACAAGAGCCGTCGCATAGTTGAGTGGCTATAGACACACACATCATGCATTCCTATGCCTGACATGTGTAAATCTTCCAATCCATCAGTGTGGGTGAAGAGTATTAGCAGGGCTCTCAAGGTTGAATTGCTGCCTGTGCCTTGTTACTTTGACTCATTTATTTACATCCTGTTTCTGTGCACAGAACTGAAGCACAGCTGACAGAAATATGGCAATGCGTGTGTCTAGGTGTGTGCGTGAGCTCACGTCAGGTATTCATGAAAAAAGGCAGAGCAAGTGTGGAAACGTCCATGTTAAGATCAGTGCGACACCTTCAAAACATGCCACATGCAACAATATATGTCCTTTGAGAACTAATAAGGTATTAGATGTGGCTGCCTCTCTGGTCCTCATCATAAGTGTGCCTTCAGGACAAAATCAGTCTGTGAGTGTCCTTCATGGTGCAATGGATGGGTAATTTACCGTAGCTCTAGGGAAACAACAGGATATGTCACAGTTAGAACATATAAGCTTTAAACACACTTGATTTGTTCAACTCCAGTACTCATGCTGTGTATCAGTCAATAGATCATGAAACATGTTCAATTGTATTAGCAGTGAGCAGGGCCAAGGTTTGCATGCTTACTGATTGTATGTACATCATAAATCACACAACCAGTGCTGCCTTGGATGTGGACAGACAGGCAACAAAGGGAATGACTCTTATGTTGCAAGGTGGTGGATTTCTAGGATTGTTTGACCAAGGTGATTGAAACAATGGAATGAGTTTTTGATTTAACGTTTATAGATAGCGCCTTCAAGTGGCGAGATGTGCCTATTACACCATGAATGTCAAAACAATCACAGTCACTGCAGGAAACCGCATCTCAAAGCCTTTGCCTTTCATCAACTTTACAGCTCAGTTTCAATTAAAAAGAGAATATAAAAAGCTGTTTTAATTGGGCAAAACACAATGTAGCATTTAAGTTATATTAATTGAATGTTTCAACCTGAGAAATGCAAATGTGAGGTATTACATCTCTCTTTATTTTTCATCCATAGAGCAGCCACCAGAAAACCAGCAACTCAGTAGCTTAAGAGGGACAATCTCAGCATATAGCAAGTCCTCTGATTACACTGTTACTCATATTAATGACTCCATCACTCATGTTACAGCACTGGTGTGTTGGTCAGTCCCAACATTTCTGAGAATGCTTTCTATACCTTACAGATCTTTATTAAAAAAAGACAGACAAAGAGAGCATCATATGTCCAAATACCGGTGTTTCCAACCCATCTCAAAGTATAGGTGTGAATGACCCTTAATGGCCTTCATGCTATCAGTCTGTTCTGAAGGGAATGTCACACGGATCATACAGAGAACGCTAGCCAGACAGTCAAGCATCTGCCCACTCTGGTGTCAGTCTGGGTGTGAGCTCCCTCTGCAGGGCTGGTTTGTGTGGTGCTGGTGATGTTTCTGTAGAGCTGCTCTGGCTGTGTGAGGACGAGTAATCGCTGGTCTGTCCAGGAGTTTGGACATTGGAGGGATTTGAAGCTGCTTGCTGCCAGATCGTTGACTGGATAAGTCCATCTCTGCACTGAAAGACAAAGAACCTTTCTTTAGTAACACCCGACGTGAACAATTAAGTTTAAATTTAAACTATTACCAGTACGAATTAACTACTAGTCACTCAATCAATTAAAAACTTAATGACACATTGAGCATTTGGGGGAAAAAAACATGAAGATGTTTTTCAAACCTTCACTCATGAATTGTATTTAAATCACCAGTTTAATTCCAAGTTTAATTAATTAGAATCAATTCAAACAAGATACAGATGCTTTAAACAGCAAACAGTTAACTCTATTGTTTTTATACTGTATAAATACATACGCATTGGTATATAAAAAATAACCTTTAATAATGCCATACCATGAACCCATGAGCCCTTTACCAAGGGCACTTGTTGGAGGTGGGCGGGGTACGTATGCAAGCTTGGGCAAAAGAGGCTTGTTGGTCGTAGCGAACTGCTGGACCCTCTGGAGTTTCAGGTCTGTGTCTCCAGCAGTTGTACCTGTCCTAGGCGAGCGCCCTACTCTGCTGAAATCAGATAAATGTTCTGAGTTGGTCTGGCTGAGTCGAAGCCTACGTGCACGGAGCCCTGGTGGCTTGTGATTTCCAGTTGTTAGCATGGCACTGGTGGGGGGAGAAGGGGACAGTGTGGTGTCTGAGGACAGGGAGAGTCCAGCCACCCCAGGGGCCAAGGCTTCTCTGTGACGCAGGGCTGAAAACAAAACAAAATGATTTTAAAAGCTTTATATATAAATAAAGCTTTTTTTTTATAGGCAACAGCAAGTATGTTTATCCAGTGAGTATTTACCTGGGGAAAGAACCTGGAAAGAGGAATCTGGTGAGGCAGTATCTCGGCTGTCACCATGCATCTCCGCTCCATGTTCTTCATCACTACTGTGCTTCCTTACGCCACTAAAGCCGTCTTCTTCTTCGTCATCATCTCCCCCCTTTTCTTCATCACTGTGACAAATAGCCAGGACCTGTGGCAATCTTTCTGTCTCTATGGCCTGGAGACGCCTGAAAAACAATGTCGAAAGATGTTGGGTTTCATCCCCCTATGGTCTGCAGAGGAAGCCAGGCTGGCTAGAAGAATGCAAATAAAATTCTTGACTCTCTGAGTCCTAATGGGTTGGAAATGGAATTATATATAAATTGCTATCCATGAAACCAGTCTTTACATCATTTAGCGTATTTCCAGCTTAAGAAAAAAGCAGTGAGGTGTGTAAAAAGTTAGTACCTGCTGTGCTGCTCCCTCCAAGCTCTAAGCTCCGCGACAACATCAATGCATTCCCTAACATCAGTCTCCTCAATGTCGTATGTGTGTTCTGGTATATGGATGGGAAGGTCACGGGGGGTGAAAGTAGATCTGGTAGGTGCTGTCTATGAGAGGGAGAAAGAGAATGAGGGGTGGCCGAGGAAACCAGGAAACAAAACAGAACAGAGGTCTAAGAGCTGAGTACATTAATTATGGATAGATGCTAGAGTAGTGGTCAGACAGACAGCGAGAGCAAACCCGAGCAGACGGAACAGGAGGGGAAGGTAAGAGGAAGGCAGAGTGACAGCAGAGGTGTGTTTATGCCAGTATGACAGATAACATGGCGTTGGCAGCGAGAGCCCCATCTGTCAAGACAGTCTGACACTGTTACACCCTTAACACATCTCCATCCCCCGTGTCCTCCCACCACCGTGCCTGTCCTCTCAGGTTTCTGTCCACCTGCAGATAATTAGCTCCCTCTGTTTATACTGACATGACATTAAAGAGATGAGCTGGTGGTGTCAGTCAGCCATAATGGCCCCTGCCAAAGCCCATAAAGCTTGGTGTGCCTCTCAGTTGACACTAAATCCTCCGCCGTATGGGACACAGCGTGCAAGAAATCATAGACTGGTTTCGATTAATTTGATATCTCATTAATACTTGTCTGTGTTTGCATGAACAGGATGTTTTTTTCACATTCACAAATTAAAGGAATTTTGTTGTTCCTTATTCCCACACACACCACCTACCCTCAACATTTCTCGCCTTGCTCGAACAGCCTGGACTGGGTTTCCACAGAAGAGAATCTTGCCAGCTCCTTCAAAAAGCAACGGATAGGAGGATTTCAGTGAGTACAACACAAAAGAACGTCCTCTTGGCGGCACTGTTGAGTAAAGATTACAAAGTTGATCCGCCCAAGGTGATGCTCATGAGGAAAAAAAAAAGGAACTGGCGCTTAAACAAAATAAAATTTAGAGATGAAATGTTGAGATTGTTGAGAAACATCAGTTTGAAAAGCAGCCACCGGTGCGCCTAACCATGCGTAAGGATGCTGGCTTCTGCTTCTACTGTTGCCAGATCAGAGTCTGCAGAACCAGGTCGAGATCCAGGAGGGGAGAGAAATCCAGGCCTGGTCGCTGACATGGGTCTGGAGCCAGGATGGGGTCTGGAGCCTGCTGACGAGAGGGGCCGGACGCAGGAGCGGCTGGAAGCAGGGCGCCTGGCTGAGCCAGGTCGGCTGTAAGGACATGCACTGTCTGCTGTACCCGCTACAAAAACAACAAAGTGAGAGGCCCCTTAAATACACAGCTGTAATTAACCGCATCGAATCACTCAAAACAACATGGACACACACACACACACACCGTCTTCAGTAGCTGCCTGAGAGGAGTTGCAGTCTCTGATGGAGTTTCTGAGAATGGCCAAGTCCTCTCCCACGGTGCTGCTGGAGCTCAGCCCGTCCTCCTCCACCTTTAAATCGTCTAGGTAACGCAGCTGAGGGACCAACTCCCTCACTGCAGCCCGATAACTATAGTCTGCCGTCTGGGTGGAAGGGAGGAAGCATCGGAAAGAGAGAGGCAGAGTGAATGTGGAGGACAGGCAGGTGTTTGAAGGAGTATTATTAGAAACGGTGACTTAAAAGTATGCACAGCAGTGTACACTATGTAACTTAGTACTCATAATCATAATCAATCATCATGCATAACCTGTGACGTATCAAACCAAATATATGCATGAGAGTATGACATTTGAGTGTGCAAAGGTGTGTGTGTAGTGTTTACATGACTTCCACCAGCTCGCTAAATGAGCTTGATCCAGTGTTTTATGCAGATTAAATATTTATCTTAATGGCATGTAGCATTATTTGTACTAAAAGCCACGAGTTCATTATGTAACAGTGCTTTTTAGGATTGCATTCAGTATGAAAAACATTACTTATGCACATGTTCCGGCTGTGGTCATTGATTGGTTTCCGTTTATGTGCTAGTGACAATTATATAAAAGACTAATTTAATGAACAGACTAGTCAGATGAGTGCTTGATACAGACTGATCCACCTAATGACATTTGGTGCTCCGATTGATTCCAGAGAAAAATGCAACTGTTACACATTATAGCTCCAGTATACTGGAGCAGTATACTGGAGCTAAGCTATGCTAAGTAATGCATAACTACCTATTAGGGGCCATAAGATGCATATGATGATGATGATAAAGAGCCAGGATATGTTGTCAATCATTTTGATGCACATTAAAAAAAGAAAGTGAGTATTGATTTATGCAGTCAACCAAATCAGTGATACACTAACAGTTCAAACATAGGACAGTTCTAAATGTGCCAATAGTTACTAGCGTCACAGCAATAAAATGCATATTAGCTAACCTTTGTTATTTACATCCATTTTGACCGTTATGGCAATTTGTGGAACTTTACTTTGAGAGAAAGAGAGTCCAGCAAATCCCTGAGGTACTGAGTGATCAAATTAGAGCTGGGCACCCCTGCCCTTCACCAAACCACACCGATGCAGAGAATGAAAACGAGAGTGAAGGGCTGGCAGGGTGGAAACGAAAGAGAAAAGAGGAGGAGAATGAGGGCTGGGTGAGAGGAAGTGAGCGGATGTGTGTGTTTGTGTGTTTGATGGAAAGAGAGGGAGCAAGAGGAGTGATAGTTTGGCAAGAGAGCAAACCCAAGAACCCCTCAGCCACTACAAAGCACAGGCCTAATGCATATTCAGCTCAGCTTCTACCCTCATTGCCCCAGATTCCTAATTAATGCTCTGCTAGTGGGTGTAAATAAACACATTCACAGTGGCCCAAAAAACTCACAGCACACTGTGTCTCGAATCAGCAGAAGGTGGAAACGCAGCTTCCACTTTGTATATCCAGCTACATTCAGTATCACTGAAGAGGTCCATGGTGAGCTGCTTCACCCACCAAATACAAATGTACTGGCCAGTTTTCAAAGAGATCAAATAGCTCTGCAATCTAGTGATAAAACATTCTGTCTGTGTCATGATGACTTATGTTTTACTATTTGGATGCCTCCTGCTCTCTCAGGGTCCTATCTGGTGCATTGAAGACCCAGATGCAGAGCGGTGAGATCACACGGATACTTTGATGATCTCAGCGCATGCTAATTACATTTCAGTCATTATCTGACAAAGCCGTGAAGGCTGACAGCCTACTAGCCCGGGAGAGACAACTAACCGAATGATGCCTCCATCATTATCACAAGTTGCTTTCGCAAGCTTGCTTTTGCGACACCAACTGAATACAACACTCTTTTTTGAGGAACTCTGCCCGGCTCCTTGCTCAAGCTTTTCATTCAGCTTCAACCGTCCTCTATTTTTTATTTTTTTCGTATATCTTTTGTCAGACTGCTGTGACTCTGACCCTTGCGCCACTTGGTGTTGGTTACTTCAGGTGGCAATGATCCAGCTCTTTTAGTGTATTCTGTTGTTAGATATTAATCTGGATAAGGACATCAGCAACATGTCTATAGACACAATATCTGTGTCTGCTGAATCACAAAGTGCAAACAAGGAGCCTGAAAAGGACATGAAGATGGGTCTGGTGAAAGAAATTTGGGGTTCAACGGGTCTCTGTTCCCTTATTCAAGTGCCAACTCTTTTTACAGGTGGCGACAACTGTAATAATATTGTGTTTTGTGGTAGAAACGACATCAGCAGAGCATTACCCTACCTGGATGGCAGTGGGGTTTGGGTGCGCACACACAGGGTTTCCTTCCAAGCTGAGCGTGTGGAGTTTGCCACACAACCCCAGATACTGAATCTGGACGAGGTCATCCACGTCATTTGCTTCCAGATCTAACAGCTGCAGGTTCTCCAGCATGCCCACCTGACTCAGGTCTGACACATTGTTATAGGCCACGTACAACTCCTGCAATGGAGAGAGGTTGCACATACAGCCTGGTAGCGATTGGTAGAGCGGTAGAAAATGTGTGATTAGACAAATTGAAAAACTAGCAGACGGAATGTTAATTAAGTCAATGATACAGAAATACTGTGGATGGGGGGGACACATAGGGAGTCAGAAAGACAGATGAGGTATCTTCCTTTCTCACAGAGACTCACAAGAACTCTGATCGCTAATCAACCTCATCATCATTACTTAGGAATTTGCAATATTTGCTGTATATATATATATATATATATATATATATATATATATATATATATATGGAAATTACCTGCAGTCTTCTTTGTTTAACTTGTGGGGAAATGTGTCACTAGTGCAACATGACAAATGGAAATTATGTTCAAGTTAAGACACAAATCTAAAATCAAATTTGAGAAATTTGTCCAAGGATGTCTTAATTTTGTTTCTTTTAATCTTTATACACATTCTAAACTTAGGAACGAGGAAGTGAGGAAAGCGTGGCACTTGTGATGCACTTGTGATTTTTACCCCAACACAGAGCCATTTGTCACCTGCAAACTCTACCTTGAGGGAAGTGAAAGTACAAATGCCATCTAGGTCTTGCAGGGAGCAGCGAGACATCCACAGCACCTGCAGCTGGGAGAGGGTGGTTCCCAGGTCTCTGAGGAGACAAAAAAAAAAGCACAAACTTGATTTTGAGGCAGGAAAGGGATTTACACGACCCAGTGAATCATGGGAAAGGCTATCCAGTCTCTTGGCTACTGAAGCTATATTCTCTTTTCTCTTCCCCAATATGCAGGTCTCTCCACTGCCACTCACTTGTCTCTACAACACACCCCTGCTCTGACCCTTCCAGCAGAGTCTCAGCCAGTGCATCAAAATCCCGTAACATCCTCTCCACTACAGCTCCCACAGCCCAGAGCAGGAAATGCTCTGATCAGAGGCAGTGCACGTCCGGCTGGCTCTGCTCCGCTACTCTCAGGGTGGAGCAGACAGCTTCCTATCTTTCTGTTTGTACTCTCTTGTCCCTCAGCAAGTCTCTCGGGTAAAAATTCTCCACCTGTCCTGTTGTGAGGACAATTTACAATGTGTGTGTCTCATCCTGGAGGTTTATTGCTTTTTTTCTCTATGCTATTCTGATGACACAGCTGTGGCTACAATGAAAGTGGTGGGACACTTCAGGAGAAACTGTGTATATTTCATGACAAATCTGAAAGCTGATATGCCACAAACCCCTCTGTGTCCTATTGTGAGACAAGTGGGTGAACCTGTTCTCCATGTGTATCTAGCTCTAAGACTGTACTGAACACCACATCTGTGGTGTACAAGCAGTAACATGCATCGTCCATACAGAAAAACTGTATTTGCAGTCCCCATTGGAAAACCTTGACAGAAGCAGAGCAGAGCCCTACATCTGCACTGAAACCATGCTACACTTTTTTTGTGACTTCTAAACTGCTATTCTGTCCCAAAGCACTGTCTTTTTATGGCCTCCAAGACCTCTCGCTAAAGAGTGTCTTCCAGCCCACATGTGAACAGCGTAAAGCACGACAGTAATCCCCATGCGTTCATCACTGCTCTCGGTTACATTTCCCTTTTTGGAAAGACCTGGATCTGCTTGCTTTGTTTCTAAGCATAAGCTAAACATGAAGTGGTTGATACAGTGACAAGACAGTGGAACATATTCAGTTTTGTTCGACGCCGCATTTTATTGTTGGTTTTGGGATTAGCAGCTTCTTGAAAATCTGTAGTATTCCATGAGGTCATGTCAACGTAATATGAGTGTGATTGTGTGTGTTCCCCCAGGAACAGGTTGCTTTTCAAGAACACAAAGCAGGAAGAAAACAAGATGTGTTTTGTGTTACGTAACGTAAGGCTTACCTCACTGACTTCACGGCGCTGTTGTTCATTTTGAGCTTCTGCAGCTTGGGCAAGTAGGCACCTGCAAGATGATCAGAAAAAAAAAAAGCCATCGCTCTCACTGTCATGTAACAGTGGAGTGATTATTCATTGGGTTTCAAACTAGCCTCCTGGTTTACCTCCAAATTCACCTCATCAGGCGTTCCACCACAATTAGCAAAAAAGTAGGAGCACCTAAGCATGACTCACACATGCACAGACCCTGCTCTGTCATGCCTGCACTCGTTGTGCAATCTAGAATTTTCTGAGGACGAAGGTGAGCCTAATGAAGTGTTCCTTCACCATTATCAGCTCGGTCATCCCCCACTGAGGTTGGCACACCTGAGAGGAAATCTAGTACGGATACGTTGCATGCGTCACAGCAATGTCTTTATTTGTCTCTTGCCTAGTTCTGGTTGGTGATTGTATGTGTCGTCATTATAAGCATCTAACTATGAATCATTGTCGTACACCAAAAGAACACTAGATATAAATAATAAAACCATTACAAACAACAAGCAGTGAGCCCTAATGAGTACACATACACCTTTGTACCTGTGCAATATGGGTTGAAATAGTTGATTAATATTTGTAAATGCCTTGAGATACTGTACATCTTACCAAAGTTACCCAGCGTGTTTTCTTGTGTGTCTACGTAGATCTCCAGCGAGGTCATATTAGAGAGATCCCGAGTTCCACACAGCGATTCCTGTGAGAGACGGAAATGAACAGCATATACTGTACTGGATTTTGTCTTTTAGTTTCATCATCATCATTCACATACCTTAGACATACACCTATGACTTTGATGTAACAAATGACGTGAAGTCTGCGATGTGAAATAATTCTGTCTGCCCACCTCACTTTGAAACAGCAATCTGCACAGCATGTGCTGCCTTTTCTCTATACTGTTCATAGAGCACTTCATTGGCCACGAGAGAGGGCAATAACAGAATTATGTCATCGGAATACACACATAACAAAGGGAGGATGCATACAGTAGATGTTATCTCCACGTTGACATGTGCAATGTAAGCCCTCAACCCCAGTCTCCACGCAGACCCTCCCTACTGCTACTGACCAACCTAGTGTAAGACAATAGAGAACTTGGTGTATCAGTGGGGATGAACACTGACTGTCCTTTAGGAGGACATGGGCGAATTTACCAGCTTCTCTTGAGAGAGGTAAAGGTCCACTGCTGTTTCATAGTCCTCACGCGGTTTCGGGGCAGGGGTTGGGTTGATGTGGCCTGATCCACTCAGCTCAGTCACTAGGACCCGTGCTGCGCCGGGCCGGACCTCCCCGGTCGCAGGCGCATGACAGCAACTCATCTCTCACGGCTACCTGAAATGAAAAATATGGAAGTGACTTACCAACACGCTCGAATAACTTTATAATAAAGAGTTAATAATAATGTCGACACTAGCTAACTAACTACTTAGAAAACGATGTAGCCTGAACAGCGATGCTTAGATGTTGACACAATGCGGGATGCAAATAAATATTCCTCTCTAAACGAGCTAATACCAACGATATTGAACGGTGCTTTCATTAGAATACATAGTAGATTTATCTAAAAATATAGATTTACCTGTTGCAGGAAAATGCAGACAAAACGCATCTACACATTTTACAGACTGTGCACTTTGCTTACAAGCAGAGGTTTGCCTGACAACCACAGACGACTTCCTGGATACGGCACCGAGTGGCACCCTGGGATATGTAGTGCAAGTGTATAAAAAGTGGAACTCTTGAGGTTAACGCTTAGCTAATGGGGATCCTATTGTATATTATATAGAAATGCTTCAAGTCTGTGATTGTTACTATTATCTATTATGAATTTGTGAGCCTCAGTCTATGTTTCTACTACAATAAACTTAACCCGCATACCCTGGTCTGGTGCTACCTTCAAATGCTCATTTGGAAGCTCTGCTTTTGGAAACGTATGCTTTCAAATTCGTGTGGTCGCCATTATAATTTCTCTAAACTCGAAAGGATTATCTGAACCAACATTTTTTTTTAATGGCTGTTTATCTAAATTAAACACTATAATGCACATAGCTACTTTTTGATGCAGTGTCATGATAAAGAGAATTATCTATAAGGCATACTAAATAACAACTAACTGCTCCTCACGCCCTAGCATGGACATTAAGGAAATGTATCTGTAATATATTACAATATTCTTCACCAGAAGTGCATGCTTTTCAACGAAGAGAAAGGCTTTAAAAACGACAATTAGGCCACGATAAAATAAGATTAGGGAAATGTAAAAACTCTCAACAAAATGTTGTTTGGTTGGTGGTTTGTTTTCTCAGGTGGATGATTTTGTGCTGGGGAAATTTGGACTCGTGACCTATTTTCAAAATCCTGCCTACTGCTGGTTCTACGGTGATGTAATAAAACATGAACACAGCATTGAGAAATTTGAAGAGTTTCAAGCGTTCAACTCGGATTAATAAGTAAGGTAAATACTGGGGAGTCAGCTGGTCTTCCCCACGGAGTAGCCCACATTTCCGACGGTCTGTGAACGCAGCAGTAACATGCATGGTGACCGGGGCGGTTCTCTGTGTGATAGAGCTGGGCGTGGGCTCCTCACTCCTCATCCCCTCTGCTCTCTGTGGAAGCACATTGTTCAACGCGGGCTCGTTTTTTTTTTTTACCCAGAACCAATGAATGCCTCGGTGCATTGTAGCTCCTGAAAATTGAACACTTTAATCGGATATAATAAGGTGTAGATATCCGAAGACGGCGGGAAGCGGACCAAGAATATATTCTGTGTCCTGATTACAGCGGAGAGGCAACAGAGTTGGAAGATTTTTTTTTTTCTTCTTCTTCTCCGGTAGACGAAACGTCGCTCTTGTAGCTAATTAGACCTCTGCTTGTTGTAAGTATGCGGTGCACATTCCTGTGTCCGAAATATGTTGGCAGCGACTGTTTTGTCTAATGGCACCGCTTTAAAATGCAATTTATTTTAGGAGGGCAGCACCGCTGGAGATTGCGGTCCACAGTGTAGCTAAGCTATCACTGCGTTTTAATTCACCTTCATCTGTCGAGCTCTACAACTCGTGGTTTGGCTACATGTAACGTGTGCCATTGAATGTTGCATCCACCTCGGTTCATCAGTTTTGATACAACAGTATCCCCTTGAGTTTGTAGCGTTAACTTGGGTTATGGAGGAAAAAAAAACAACCTCACAGCGCCGCGGATTTCCCCCCATCATCTCAGTGTGAAAAGGAAACCGAAGGCATGCAAATGTAGGCAGCAATAGTGGGGGATTTCACTTTCCGTCGCATGTATTTTTTTGGTCATTGTAAAGACAGTGTTGAGTGTGAGGCTGCTGCTGCTGTTGCCGATAGTGGCCACACAGACACAAGTACGTTAGGGTGACGCCCCGTCACACTGACTAACAACTGAATGTATCACTGCGGAAGTTAGATTCCATTACAAGGCATTTATAAAGCTGACTTTGACTTATTTCTACTATGGAAGCTCGCTGTTTAATCCGTTTAGTGAGTTTAAAAAAGGGAAAAGATGGCAAAGACGGCTCAAGTTTTCCAGCCACTGAAAATATGACCATATGGGCTGTTATACTAGAGAGGAAACAATTCACCCATCCCAAGCTGACGCAAAATCTTTGGCAGAATTCATCGTTTTCATCACGTGAGATAGTAACATTTAAGTTAGGGCCTTCTTAGGAAACAAAGCAAAGAAACGTTTGGGTTCATTGTTGTCTTATTGGCTTGTGATTGTAACTGACTGCTGTGCGAGTCTCCCCTTTTTATCCACAACAACATCACTGTTGCTGACCAAAGCTGATGAGTACCATGTACAACCATGTAGTGTTTCCACGATCACATAGGATGGAGGAGGTCCAGCGTTGGTCGTGTGAATTTGTTCATCAAATCAGCGGCATTGTTCAGAATACAGGCCAGAGTTTAGGCAGCTGGAAAGCAGCTGGAGAAGTAGCAGCCAGTGCTGGAGGTGTGATGTTAAGCTCTAGTCCCTTTCTCTGAACAGCTGTAGCCAGGGTGGTGCCCAGCTGCTTGCCAAAATAAGTGTGACTCTTCTGGTTACCAAGAATTTATAAAAAGGACAACTTTGTGTACAGTTTTTACCCAGAGGGTTTTAATTAGGTGAATGTGTCCGTTTGAGACTCATAGACGGCTTATGATCTTTATGCTTAGTATATGCTCTTGCGTATGCTTTGTTTTTGTTTTAGCGGTATTTAATATGTTAAAGGGATCCAGATAACTTTCAACTGCAACGACCTAATGAATGGGAAGTTTATTTACCTAAGAAGAAAAAAAATCCCCTGAGTTACCAATGTGTCATTCCCTATGTTAGTCCATCGGAAAAGGTATTTTTGGCATCACGTGACGGACCAGGAAATTGTAATTCCACCATTTGGCCACTATGTAGGCTTTGCTGGCGCTCTTCCCGGGGACTTGGATTGTACCCGGTGGCATAGTGAAAGTAGGGCTAGGCAATGATATCGATATTGTAATATGAGAGTAGATATCATCTTACATTTTTGATGAGTGCCGTAAGTGTTGGCCTCCTGGTTTTAAAGGCTGCATGACCGTTAAGTGATGTCATTTGATGTAATGCTCCAAGTGCGACTGGCAACCGGGCGGCCTGTCCTCATTGTCAACAACCCACCCCACTTGAAGCTCTGACCTGTCTCGTTTACCGTGCTTTGTGGGTGTTCATCACCATTCATATCGATAGAGTCAAATTGTTTACAAGAACACAGAGTTCTTCATAGACCCGGGGGGGGGGGGGGTCCCCAACTTTCAGAGGGCAGCTCCAATATCCACATTAATTGTTACTATTTATCAAAAATCTCACTGTGTAAATATTTTGTGGAAACACCAATGGTCAACCCCTACAATGTCGATAACAAGGTATTTGAACAAAATAAAAATGTTGCATGTCGCCCAATCCTAAGGTGAGGCTTATAGAGAGCCGTTCTAAACGCCCGTGGTGTCATATTTCTGTCTCAATGTGGTTATTGTTCCTACGTGTTTATGTTAGGGAGGTAGGTTTGAATTATTTCTTCTTTGGAGAAGGAACTGAACATTTGGTGGGATCTTCTACAGGTTGACTGGCAGCTTAGGGTCATGTGACCCACAATAGAGTGTTTTCACATGCACTCACAAACTGAAACAACTGGAGTGAAGATTCACTCATTACTGTGATTGTAAAATAAAAACACCACCACTGATGATTTCAGGGTGTTTGGTGTGTGATGATAAGCCTCATGGCAGGCCTTTGTGTGTCTCTGCTGCTGCCTCCACCATCTCACCCAACCCGAGAAGCTGAAAGGCTGACCCAGTGGGGGGAGGGGGAGGGGGGAGGTCACTTGTAGTCCAGTGCCTTTAAGAGCAGCTTGTTTAAGCATGCACATATACACAGATGCACACAGAAACTCTTTATATAAATGTTTGTAAGGGAGAAAATGTGGGGTGGAGGAATTGTTTATTGAGGGATTTTCTCTTAAGATTCTCTGTTCACAGTTTCATTCAGTTTTGGGTACTTGGATACTAGATGTGTCGCTGAATTGATAGACGTCATAAGAATAGCTGATGGTCCTCACTTACTTGTGTTTCATTGGCCTCAGAGAGTAGAAGTGATTCCTCAGCTGCCGTTCAAAACTAATGTTTGGATGCTGTTTATGAGGATGATGTCATTGGAGGGCGGGGGGGTCTTGGAGTCTCAGTATTCGACCGTGATACCTCCCTAGAGAGGGTCTCCTTACCATCATTGCTCCATTAAAAATCTATTATCTCTGCAGTGGGCTTGTGGCTCTGCCAGTATGGATTCTTTAACCAATTAGGAATTTTAATGGAGAGCAGAATGCATGTTGTGGAAGACGGCCATTCATGTGCCCTGCTTCTTGCATCGTGTGTTTTGAAGTGGTGGACTTGTTTTTCAGGTAAAAGATGTCCATTCACGGTAGTTATCAGAGCCATGCAGCTGCGCTAGCTAGGAAAAAGCATTTTCCTTATTGATTTCCATGTACATTTTTCAGTTTCCAGGTGGACCCCTCCCTCCCTGTGGTTTTCTCTGCCCCTGGCATGTAGTAAAAGTAGCCCCTCGCCCTCAGCCACCCTCTCCTCCCATCACCCCTCTCGCTACTCTGTACTTGCACCCTCCGTACGCTGTCATGTAAGATTATCCTCTCTGTCCAGGCGGGGCTCTAGGGTTTCAAAACGAACTGTTAATTTCCCAGGCTGGAGGTGGCGAGCTATAAATAACACAGACGCGCTGTATAGTGCTCATTCGTCAAAAGAGGGAACGGCCATGCAAAGATTATGAGGACTTTTGGATGGAATAGGTCACCGACTTGAAAGATGACACGGCGGCCAGAGTCGGTCTCTGAGTTGAGTATTTGAACAGTGGTAGCAGGAAGCGGACTCTGTTCACCTTTAAATGAGCTGATGTATCACCTTGCTGTGGGCTTATTTACTTTTGTCTGATATGCACGTTGCGTGACCTCATCGTGGTTGTATGTAATGTTTTTCACAGGTGCAAATAAAAAATGTCGGTTATTACTGTACAATAACAACATCAGACACAGCTATTGGGGCAAGATCATTTGTGTGTACAGAACTTTAAAAAAAAAAAAAATACAACTTAGACAACAAGTTGACAAATGCTTCATCGCTGTGTTCGGGTGAAATATGTAAAATGAATCGATTGTGTCCTCATCCCGCCTCTCTATCTGCACAAAGACCAGCTCTGTGTGAGCCCCACCGACAACAAGTGGCTCCGGGAAGGCGACGGCATCACTATCGATGATTAATTTAGCTATTCATCTCCATATGTATGTGTGGATTATTAATCAGCTGCTGACTTGGCCTAGTTTGAGAAGAGATGGCACGTCTGTCTGTCTTGCCTTCCTCCGGTCTCCCGGTAGCGGGCGCGGCAGCGGTGAAAGCAGTTCCAGCGTCTCTCCGCACAGCTGCTGTTTATTTGGTTAGAGGAGGCCGTGAGGAGCGCGGCTCCAGCCGGAGCGGGCAGCGCCGTGTACCAGGTCGATTTATTTACAGTGAGGGAAAAGGGAAGCTAAATGTTTGGCCACAAGATGGAAGATTCAGGATAATTCCCTTCCTGTTTGTGCTTGAGAACTACGGCAGTGAGGGTGTTTTTACAAGGAGGGCGATGTTGATATTGGCGACGGTGATCAGAGCTACCGGTTCCATTAAGGCGAGCGATGGCTTATGGGCTCGTGTGTGTGAGTGAGAGAGATTGAATGAGAGCAGCTAAAAGACTGTGTCTTCCGTTAGCAGGTCTGCTTTTCTCTGTCAATCATTAACATCAGTGAGGCAGTCTTAGTCTTGGCTAATCTTAGCGTGTACCCACATCAGCACATTCACATGCATCTCACGCACAAATAAAACAACGTTTTCACAGATGGTGCGTTCACATTTCTGTAGTTTTCGTTGGATGCTTTGCATGTTCTTTCATTGAACTGGTGTTCATGTCACCTGTTACTCCTTCTGTTTCTACACGTTGAGTTGAGGATTCACTCCAGCTGTGCGTGTGCTCCCTTGGGAGATAAAAGCCCAAATAAGAGGGTGTGTCTGATGAGTTCTGCTCAGGCTCCGCCCGCTCGGTGGTGAGCAAGGAGTTTGCGTAACAGAGCTACGCGGGGAGCACTTTATGTTCGGGATGACAGTTGATGACCCCGGAGAAGGTAGAACAGCATATGTGACCCGCGGTGCTCATGAGATCCTGACAGATTGACTACACACTCGAGCAGGTGGGGTAGGTTAGTGATTTTCTTCTTGAGCTCACTTAAAGAACATTCAGCAAAGTGAGACTTTTGTCGATGAACAGGCCCAGATGTTTAACCCCGCGTGACCTTCTGTTACTCTACGGGACAGGAGACGGACTACTTTTGAGGAAGAGGTTTTTAAGACGACTTTATGGTGATGCAGATGTCTTAATGGCTTCATATGTCATTTCTGTAAGTCTGTGTTGAAAGTGGCAATGACACTGTTGAATTAAATTCAAAGTATAAGTGCATGAAAATGCCTGAAGGTGAGTTTTTGGACTGTCAAACTGAAAGTGAAACTAAACCACCCCACCTCGGGAGGTTCAGGAATTCCCGTGATTTTCCTCTGATCTCTGATATCAGAGATGAAATTGCTGTGATGACATCACCTGACCACTCATTGTTGTCTGCGTGATGTCAAACTGAAACTATAACCCTGGGAGGCGTGTGTGTGTGTGTGTGTGTGTGTGTGTGTGTGTGTGTGTGTGTGTG